ATTTTGTTTTATTTCAAACATTAGATACATAGTTTACAGGTAAGGATTTTTTCTTTATTTCTAATAAATATTTATCTTTTTCATTTTTAGAAATATTTTTATCTTCTAGTATTTCATATGCTTTTTTTAATTTTAAATAATCAAATTGTTTACTAGTAAGTAGTGGATATTTATCAAAAATAGGAAAAATTACATCTGATAATTTTTTTCTATCTCTAATTACGAATTGTCCTTTTGTATTATCTTTTCTAACATTACCTACACCAAGCTCTTTCTTAATATAATAAAGAGCTCTAAGATTATACCTAGATAAAGCTATTTTATATACCAGATTTCATTTACCATTTTGATATCCTATGTGAAACGTACCGTCTCCATCACTAATCCCAACTAATCATTGTTCGAATCAAATTCTATTATTTTTATTGTTATTAAGATACTCTTTGTTTAGTCTCTGATGAGTAGAATAATTTCTATCTACCCAGGCGTATTTTCTCCGTGAAATAGACATTTTTACACACGCTAAAGTTAATAATAAGCATAGGTATTCTATAACTTGAATTTTAAGTAGATAAAATTCTAGAAGAAGTTCACGCATCGAAAAGAGTTTTATTACCTTAGAGTCACCTCTAATAAACTCCCTATCTCTAAGAGTTCAACCTGTACCTGCTCCATTTTCAATCGTAGCTGAAAAAATAAATAATAATAAACTAGGGATTAATAATCAAAAACTTATATTATTTAGTCTAGGGAATCGATACAAAAGTAGTTTACTACCTTTACGGACTATGTCTTCACCCTTATTTTCTTATTTTTTACTCATTTTTTTGCTAGTAAAAATGCAAAGCACTAGCCTTGCTACTAATTTTAAAGGGGCTTCGCGTGTAGTCTCTGAGGATCCTACTAGGAAATAAATAAATTTCCTTTGGTTTCCGGCATATTCTTCCCATGTATACAAAAGTGTTACGACTAATTCAGTTGAAAAAACAACTTTAAAATATATATATATATTTAATTAGGTGTCTATGTATCTGTTAACTGAAGATCAATCTTCATTTTCGAGAAATTCTATGCATATAGCGAAGTCATAATTAAAAAGTTTACACTTTTTAACGGCATTCCCTGTTTTAGGAAAATTTTATTCTATATATAATTTATTTAAATGATCTCAATTATAATACGTTCTTTGTCTATTCATATTGGATCTCGCAGCATCTGTTTTATTTAAGCCGTCATCCGTATATTGTTTACTTTCTAAAACTAATTCCGCTATCTCTTTTCAATCTTTATAATCTAAAAATTTACTAGAAAATAAAGGAGTCTTATTTAAGTAATTTATTATTATAGATAAAGAAGTTTTACTTGAAGCAGTCAAAGTGTAATATTCATTACCAGTGGAAACTTGTTTTCTTACTAGTAAACTACAATTAAGAAAATTAGCTATATCTGTTAGTACTTGAAAATAACTTTCCTTTGTTATAGGATAAAACATTCTTTGTTCTATTCTTAATCTACAAGATATTTTCCTTTTCTTTGCTCCGTTCTCTAATTTAGTGTGTTGTACAGAAAAGCTACCATCTGAATCTATAAAACCGCTTAATCAAGCATCATTCTCTATTTTATTTGTATTTAAAGGTAATTTAGCTATATTTGTATTATGATTTATATTTAATCAATCTATTAATTTATAAACTTGGTCTACTTTTGGTGTTCTCAATTGGCCATTTATTAAATAAAGGATTTTTTTTAAACCAGGTACAGAGGATATAACTAATACGCAAGCATTATCTTGCAATTTATATCTTATAAAACCTGAATCGATTAAATCTAACAATTTTTTAGCTAATGGCTCGTTCTTCATACTAAAAGTTATACAAAATCTAGGATTATGCCTTTTTTTATCTATGCTTCTCTGTATTCAGATATGTCCGTCTCCTTCGAATAGACCAGCTAAATAACTTTTAAATAAATTATTTTCTTTTTTACTGCTAGAATAAAATTTCCCTAGGTGGAACTTTGTTTTTGCCATATCAGGTCCACCTATTAAAATTGGTAATAAAAAATTACCAAAACCACCTATTAAAGCTGGCATAACCATAAAAAAAATCATTAATATAGCATGAGCTGTTATAACACTATTATACAGTTGATTATCTCCTATGTATTGAACCCCTGGTCCAGATAATTCTAAACGTATTATAACAGAAAAAGCTGTACCTATCAAACCTGAAAATAAAGCAAATATTAAATATAACATTCCTATATCTTTTGCATTTGAAGATAAAAATCAACGCTCTTTTCACATTGTTATATTCATAATTTTATTTAGAATTGTATTTTTAGGATTTTCGTTACTATCCTTTTCATTTAAAATTGCAGTATAGGCATTTTTTATTTCTCTTATATTCCTATATTCAGAGCTACTTATTGTAGGCCGATTCATACAAATTCTAAGTATCTCTTTTCTTTTTATTTAAACACATTATTATATTTTACTTTATTCTTATATAATTAAATTAATATATAGAATACTGTTAATTATATAAGGATTCTTATCTTAGACTCGAACTAAGATCTAAATATTAGAAGTATTCTGCTCTACCCTTAAGCTAATAAGAACTATATAAGTTATTATTAAAATAATTTATTTATATATATTTTATATATAAAACATTTTTTGATTATAGACTCAAAAAAAAATTATTACTTTTTGACCTTATAAACACTTACCTAGAGTATTTATAATACAGAATACTCTTAAAAAAAAAGGTATAATAACATGTACAAGATTTGAACTTATATCATTGTGTCCGTAGCACAGTATTCTGCCGTTAAACTAACATGTTTATATATAAAATTTTAAATTTTAAATTATTAGAATAATAAAAACAATTCACAAACTTCTAATAAAACAAACTAAAAAAGGCTATTATATAATAATAAAATAATTTTATATTATTAATAATAAATTAATATAAACTAAGGTAAAATATTTTTATATTAAACTAACAAAAAAAAATATATATACAATTATTATTATATTTTTAATTATTAGGGTTGGTACCTTGAATCGAACAAGGATATACTATGCCACATACAGCTGTTCTACCTATTAAACTATACCGACCTAAATTTTTATGTAAAATTATATAAAAAATTAAAAATTTTAATTATTTTACATAAGCCAGGAGAGAAATTCGAATTCTCATTCTTAATTCATGAAATTATTGTTCTACCTATTAAACTATCCTGGCTAAAATTATGTTGGAGCGATTCGAACACTCATTAATAAATACCAAAAATTTATGACTTACCTATTAGTCAACAACATAAAAAAATATGGGTAACAAGACTTGAACTTGCAAAGTTAAAACTATTCCATCCTAAGTGGAACCTGGTTACCAAATTTCAGCATACCCATAAATTTAAATATAATATATAAGAAATAAGTAAATCTGCTCGAAATAAGATTTGAACTTATAACCTAAACATCTTCAGTGTTCCGCTCGACCAATTGAGCTTTTCGAGCTATGGAGCTATCAGGATTTGAACCTGAATTGAGGACATGCAAGGTCCCAGTTTTACCAATTAGACTATAGCCCCTTAGTTATATTATTTATATAACTTATTATTTTAAATATAAAAAAAATTTTTTAGTGTATATATATATACTAAATTAATAATATTAATTATTATTTAATATCCAAGGCACGATTTGAACGTACACGAAATCCATCACCTAATTTTAAGTTAGGTCTGTCTACCAATTCCAGCACTCGGATTATAAAACTTTTAAAATAATAATGTAAGGCTAAAATGAGTCGAACATTTATAAAAGCTATCATGAGCAGCTGGCTTTACCATTAAGCTATAGCCTTATAAAGCAAGTTTAGGAGTTGCACCTAAATTATTGGATCATGAGTCCAATATGTTACTATTACATCAACCTGCAAATTATAAATAAGAAATAGGTGATTTGAACACCTGACCTTTCGCGTGTAAAACGACAGCTCTACCATCTGAGCTAATTTCTTTCAACCCAAGAGAGATTTGAACTCTCGCACTAACAGTGAAAATGTTATGTCTTAACCATACTTGACCATTGGGTCTACCAACTATTTTTAGCCCAGTGCAAGTATCGCACTTACTTAAACCGATTACAAAACGGTTGCATTACTTTTATGCTAACCAGGCTTAATATGAGCTATAATTAGTATTTTATAAAATTAGTACTTTATGCCTTAAAACAATTAAGATTCTTACAACTAAAGCCTATGAAAAAATTATTCGTAGTGTTCTACTACGTTTATAAGAGTATAGTATAGTAAGCTTCGCGCTTAAATGCATTCAGCACTTATCTCTAACTGACTTAGCTTTCCTGCCATGCTTAATAAACAATACTACTTAAGTGAAAATAGTATAAGATACATAATATCAATATTAAACAACAGGTAAACCATAGATCAGCATACCCAACTCCTTTCGTACGAAGGGGCTATCTATATTAGACTCTAATTACCTCTAGAAGATAGAAACCATACTGTCTCACGACGTATTAAACCCAGCTCGTGTAGCTCTTTAACCGACGAACAGTCGTACCCTTCATGATTTCTACATTCATGTGGATGAGCTAAGCCGACATCGAGGTGCCAAACCGCGCACTCAATTTGTACTCTCTTGCGCAAATTAGCCTGTTCAATTTATGTTATCATAAAAGTTTTTTATCTTTTATTTCCATTTTTTTCAAAATGGTTCAGACTATTTCATCATCTTTATTAGTTATATATTATAAGCAAAATATTATAAATATTATTTATTAGAATAATTTAATAACCACTTAATCAACCTTTAATACCAAATGATCCTAAAGCGGAATTATTATTAAGATTAGTATAATCAATATTAGATCTAAATTTACCTCTTAATAAATTTGAAGAATTTCCATAGAAGGATGAATTTATATTAGCTATACTACCTTTGATCTTATTTTTTGTTAAAGATCTTGCAGCAGTAAAACGTCTAGTTAATCTACCATTAGCTTGTAATTTAATACCTGCTACTTTTTTATATTTAATATCATCAAAAATAGTTTTTTTTAAATTATTAGATTTAGATTTATTTTTTAATAATATATCATATAATATATCATTAGTAATGTCTAATTTATTATAATTATCTTTAATAAAATTTCAATTAAAAATATATTTATTATTAGGGTATAAGATTAATAAACTTTTTTTTTCTAAAGGTATATTCTTTATTATTTTTTTTAAACTTTTGTTTAAATATTTTCTATTTTTTTGTATATCCAAAACAAAACGTTGAGTAATAATTTGACTATTAAAAAAATAATATTTAATATTAACAAAATTAAATTGTACATTTTTTTTATATAATTTTTTTATAATATTAACTAAACCTTGTAGATAATTGTTTCTAAATTTAGATTTATTAATATATATTAATTGTAAAATATAAAGGTATAATTTAGCTATCTTAAAAGTTTTATTTAAAAATAAATTATAATATAAATTTGTAAAAAGTTTTAGATTTTTAAAATTATATTTATCAAAATTATTTAATAAAATATTTTTTGTTATTTTTCTTTGTTTTAAAATAAAATATTTCCCTATCATTTTCAATAAATTTAATTTATTTTTTTTTTTTATAAAATATTTTTTTTTTCTTAATTCAGATAAATATAAACGTATTTTTGGGTCATAAAAATATATAGTAATATTTACTAAATCATTAGTATGTTTTAATTGAGCATCACTAAAAAAAATTCTATGTTTTGAAGTTAAATATTTTTTATAAATTAAACGAGTTCTAAAAAAATTTTTTGTTTTTGAATAATAAGCATTAAAATAATTTTTTATTAAATTAATACTTATCTCATTAATTTCTGATATTAAGGTTATATTCTTTTTATTGTATACATAAATACTATTTTTTCAATTCCTTATCATAGGCCCTGATTCTTTATATATATAATTTGAATATTTAGAATTACCTGAAAAATTTTTATAAGTATTTTTAATTTTTAATTTTATTATATTGAGCATTTTAATATATATATTTAATTATTAATATAATTTTAATGTTATATAATAATATAATTTAACCATAGTTAAACCAATTTCATTAATAAAATATTTAATAAATATTAAATTAATATTTATACAAAAATATTAATATATATATAACTAATAAAGATGTTGGGATTAAATAAAAGGATTATCAATAGCACTATTCACCTTTTAGTCGTTGAACGTTCTTATTTAATTTATATAAAATATAAATATGCTAAAATAAGTTTCGCTTCAAATACACTTAAATATAAGTTATTTTTGAAATTTACCCAAATTATTACCAATATTTTAAAATACAGGAGGACTAACAAAAATCCCTAGCGTAACTTTTTCTTTAATCCAAGACCTTTCCTTTTTGCATCTTGTGATCATATGCCCCGCTTACGCGACTGATAGACTTGTAAGTCAAACAGTAAAGCAAGATTTAGCCATTAAACTTTTAAAGTATAAATAATTATCATATTAATAAAGATTTATATATACAATATTAATATAAATAAAATAGTAATAAAAAAAAATTTTTTTATTAATATTTGATATACATCTATTTACCATATAGTTAAAATCTTACTTAAATTTTATAAAATTCGAATTTAATACAATAATAACTGAATAAATATAAAATATAATTAATAACAAACTAAATAATAATAATTTATAAATATAAATATATTATTATTGTAAATTAAAATTTACAAACTTACATTATTAACTTTGGATATACCCAGGTACTTTTTATGGGATCTGTGCCCCGCATAAACTGTCTTCCAGTCATAAAGAATATAATAGTTTAAATAAAGGTGTTTCAATTTTATTTAACAATTACCTTATACACTCACAATTGACTTACTATATTCATAAAAGGTAACAGTAAAGCTGCATAGGGTCTGTTGAGATAGGTAGGCCCTCTCGGGCTTTCCCCCTCTAAGAACCGTACGTGCGACTTTCATCGCATACGGCTCAAATATTAATATATACATTTAACTATCTTTATTATTGTGTCTCTCTTCATCAAAAAGTTTATCTAATCCTCAATCATCTTCTTCAAATATATTATTATTTTTTATTCTTTTATTTATAATTACTTCTTTACCTGTTTCATTAGAAACTTCTTCATTAGCTATTTTTTTAGAAATTGCTTTAGAAGACATTGAGTTAAGTTGTTCTTTCATTAACTCAAGACCATCATACATTTCACGATTAAGTTCTCTCAATTTCTGAAGTGGATCTATCTGTAAGATCAGAGGGATTGCCTACGGGTACTTACTATTCTATAGTTCAATTGTTATATTTTGTTGATATAAATAGATTAAGTTCATAACAAAAACTTAATATATTTGCAAAGAAAAAGGATAGAAATTAAATTCCTAGGAAATAAAAATTATTAGCCAATAAAAAGAATTTAATTAGATATCTAGTTTTAAGCTTATATTCTTCAGTTAAATCTACAACATATATTAATATCAATTTTAAGTCAGCATTCTTTCGAATTAGTCATAGACCTATTCTCACTATTAATATGAGACATTCGCTTTTTAAAATATCCTTTACCCACTAATATATATTCAAATTTACACTTGAACTTCTTCATATTCTCATATGAAGATATTATTGGGCTTACCTAGTTTACTTAATAACACCTTATTTACTACCTTAGGATTTCACTATACGTAAATTAACATAAGACCCATTAATAAACAAACGAAAAATTGTTTATACAGTTAATTACAATTCTTTTTACTTTTTTCTTACTAAAGATATTCTACTCTAATACGCTTCGGACGTGAATTCAAAAAAATTTTATCCATAGTAATATAGCTCACCATCCTTATATAAGGATGGAAGGTTTGTTGACCAAATTAAACGGGCTTTACACAAAAGAATTACTTCTAATGCATACCGTCTGAGCTCAGATAATGGGTTATCTGGTGGGTTTTCACCACATTGTTATTAAGCACTTAACTAGTCGCACTCTCGTCTACCTAGAGTTAAACGGTATCTGCACCGCTATTCCAATTTCACTGAGCTAATCATCGAGACAGCTGTTGTATCGTTAAGTCATTCATGCAAGACCGCATTTAACGGCCAGGGTATTCCGCTACCTTAGGACCCTTATAGATAAGGCCGCCATTGATCGGAGTGTCCTTCAAAACCTAACCTTTTAAATTAAGTATCTCAGTTATACAACCGACATTGGGCAGACATCACACTCAATACTTTGATTTTTAATCTTTGCAGAGTGATTTGTTTTAATTAAACAGTCGTACAACATTATTTCATGTTTCCTCTTATTTAACAGAAATATTTTTCTGTAATAACGGCCCTCCTTATCCCGAAGTTACGGAGTCAATTTGCCGAGTTCCTTAATGATTATTCACTCAAACGCCTTTGTATACTCTACTTGCTTACTTGTGTTAGTATTTAGGTACGGTCTAGA